TAAGGGAGACCTTCCCCATGATCCTGCCTTCCAGAGATAACACAGGTTAGCGTCCTTGGAGAAGCTTCTAACAGTATTTTTTTCTGAGGGTGTTTTACATGTTGAGATCATACTATATATAATTTGGTATTTCTGCCCTTTTTCCACAAAAAATTTTGTCACAAGCATTCTCCTTTAGCATTAAAAACTTCCTTTGTGGGCTTCCCTGGTGGCACAGTGGTTGGGAGTCCGCCTGCCGATGCAGGGGACGCGGGTTCGTGCCCCGGTCCGGGAAGATCCCACGTGCCGCGGAGCGGCTGGGCCCGTGAGCCATGGCCGCTGAGCCTGCGCGTCCGGAGCCTGTGCTCCGCAACGGGAGAGGCCACAGAGCAGTGAGAGGCCCGCTTACCGCAAAAAAAAAAAAAAAAAAAAAAAAAAAAAACTTCTTTTGTTATCAAGTAGCTAAATAATGCCCTGCTGCGCGGTAGTGCTGTATTTGATGCTTAGATGGTTTGCAAGCTCCTGCTGGTAAAAGTGTTATCGTGATGGTCTTCATTTAAGATAATGTTCTTACGAGTTTTTAAACTCTGCTCCCCCAACCCTCCCCTCCCCACCGAGCTATTTCTGCTTCTCAAAATGGGGGCACGAGCCTCCCCCACAGGCCCTGTGAGGTCAGACGCAGGCGACATGAGCATCCCTCTGCCCAGCGCACAGTGGGTGCCCAGGGGATGTCTGGACAGCAGCGCGCACCTGAGGTGCTCCAGGTCGTGGGACAAACAGCACATCTCCTAGAAGCATCACACACACAGCAGGATGCAAACAGCAAAGGTAAAAGCAAGGCTCTTCGCACTGTGCTTCCTACACGCAGAGCTCTTCTGAGGGCAAGTTTTAGGGCCCCTGAAGCTCCAGCCCTGCTCTAAGAACCCGAGCCCTCGCCCGCAAGCCAGCACGGCCAGCACAAGCCGCCCCGACCACAGGGCGATGCAGGCGCATTCTCCCCGCTCACACTCGCCGAGCAGTTCAGTAAGCTCTTGTTACGGGCTGGGTAAACTAGCCTTGATCCTAAAATTCATCTCGAAAGGGAAGGTGGAGCCCGCCGGGCCTCGGGGGCTCAGCCCCATCTCCCTCACCCCCACCTCACTGACCAGGATTCTGCGGCCTGACTCTAAGAAGGCTTGAGATGCAATTCACATCCATTCAATTCACTCATTTAACGTGTTCAGTTTGGTCGTTTTTAGTCTACTTACAGGGTTGTGCAACCATCACCACGATCTAATTTTAAACCATTTTCACCAAAAAGAAGCCCTACTTCTTTACCAGTCACTCCCCATTCCCACCCTCCTCCCAGCCCCAGGCAACCACTGACCTATCTCTACAGATTCCCCTATTCTGACTTTTCATACAAATGAAATCATATGATAGGTGGCCTTGGTGTTCAGCTTCTCCCAGAGCATAGTGTCCTCAAGGGTCATCCATGTTGTAGCAGGTGTCAGCACTTCATTCCTCTCTATGGCTGAGTAATATTTCACTGTGTAGATAACACATTTTATTTATCCATTCATCAATTTATGGACACGGGTTATTTCCACATTTTGGCTGTAAGAAAAATGCTGCAATGAACGTCTCTGTGCACGTTTTTCGACATGTTTTCATTTCTCTTGGGTAAATACCTAGGAGTGGAATTGCTGGGTCATATGGTAACTACATTTGACATTTTAAAGAACTACCAAACTATGTTCCAAAGTGGCTGCA